TCCTGGGAGCTCCGAGCTTGGAAAGCAAGCTTACTACATCTGAAGCTGTCAGCATGGTGCGAGCCCGGGAGCTGCCTGGAGCACTGAAGAAAGATCTGGAAAGCCAATGTCACTGGGATGGCCGCAGTGGGAAAAGGCTCGAGATAGGGTGGAAGATTTTCTAAAGGGTTTCAAGCGCCAATATGTTAAGGTGGCGCATAAGGGAACACCCAGAGACAGGTTCGTGTGGAGAAAAGGCGGGATTTAATTGTTTAGGTACAGGCAGGCTCCAGCTGCTAGTCTGGAGGAGGGATTGAGTTCCTACAGGGCTTGGGGACGGGGTTTATAATCTCAAGGAATCTGCATGGAATGAGTGGGGTCAAAACTCCAAGGATGGTCAGGGCAGGTGTGTGGACACTGCTGGACATCCTGGCACCTGGGAGAGTGTCTGTCCAGTCCTCAATTTCTTTATGGCTATCAGTTCTGGTTTTTTTTGTAGAGGGCAGCATATTTTATTGTGAAGGTCTTTCTCAGGTTAGACTTGATACATATGTGTGTATAGATGTATACCTACATACATTCATCTTAAATTCTTTTAAATGATTCAAATATTACATAATTTTGAAGCCAGGTGTAGGGGCACACACCCATAATCCCAGCACTTAAGAGGCTCAGGCAGGAGGACTGCCATTCGTTCAAGGCCCTCCTGGCCTACTTAATGAGTTCAAGAGTAGCCTGAACTACACAACAAAACCCTGCCTCCAAAGAAATCTTATATAATTTTTAAATATTTAGGTTCATTTGCAGCATAAGAAGGTCAAAATATCACCTGTGAAAAACAAGAGGACTTCATGTGTAAAGAATTGGCCCAGGCTAGGTGTGGTGGCACACGCCTGTAATCCCAGCACTCAGGAGGCTGAGCAAGGAGCTGAGCCTGTAATCCCAGCACTCAGGAGGCTGAGCAAGGAGCTGAGCCTGTAATCCCAGCACTCACCACAAGTTCAAGACCAGTCTGGGGCTACACAGTGAGGCCAGCCTGAATTACAGAGTGAGAGCTTATCCCCCCCAAAAAAGGATAGGTCCAAAGTTAGGGAGATAAGCTGGGCATGGTGGCTCACACTTGTAATCCCAGCACTCGGGAGGCTGAGGCAGGAGGATCATTGCAAGTTCGAGACCAGCTGGGCTACAAAGTGAACTCAAGGCCAGCCTGAACTGCATAGCGAGACAACTGCATTGTCTCGAAAAAGACAAAAAAAAAGTTAGGGAGATGAGCCAAGGGAGGTCAGGGAAACGCATAACAACAAAGCTGCTGAGTCCAACGCAAGTCACCTGCAGAGGAAGGTAGAGGACAAAAAGTTGATCTCCTCCTCTTGTAGAAAGGGCAAATTTTTTTTTGTGTGTGTATGTGTGTATGTATGTGAAAAGGGCAAATTTTAGAAAAATTCTGAGTGAGGTGAAGAAGGGATTAGCAGGAGGAAGAATGAAAACAAAACATCTGTGCATTTCCCACAATCACTATGGACAGACTTTATGATCAAAAAAACACAGACAACCAGGAAACATTACAGAAACAATAGGATAGTAGCTCTGGGACTGAAGACCCCAAAGGAGGTTAGAGGCAACTCTGTGGTAGAGAACACACCCAGCATGCAAGGCGTGAAATCAATTTCCAGGAAACTCATACACAACAATAAAATAATAATAAAAATAATAATAATAATAATGCCTGTGAGTTCCTCATTTACTCCTTCACTACGTGGAGTTAAGTTTTCCCACTGGAATTGTTGGCCTCATCCCCGTGGACCAGGCCCTCTGGAGCTCTCCCTTTTTTTTCCCTCCTTATTAAAGACAGGATCTCACTGTTGCTCAGACTGGCTTCAAATTTCTGCACCCCACTGATCCTCCTGCCTCAGCCTCCCGAGTAGCTGGGATTACCGCTGTGTGCCATCCAGCCTTCAGTCCTGCGTTTTTTAAAGAGGCAAGGCTTTATTGAAGTGCTTCCATGCTGCAGCAGAGGGTTCAGTGCATCAGAGGAAACCCTCCTAGACCTGCCCCAAGTCCTGTCCTCTTATGCAACTGTTTCCTTGGCATTTCATCCTCACCTCTCTCACAACACATGTCACACTAATGGCCATTATTTATTAATCACTCCTTGAAGGTCAGCAGTGTGCTAGGCACCATTCCCACAACCCCCCTACGAGGGCCTTCCCACGGAGCTACATCCTCAGACCTTTTATTATTTTTTATTTTGAGACAGGGTCTCCCTAATTCACTAAATTGCCCAAGCTAGACCCAAATTTGTTTTTTGGTTTGTTTGTTTTGTTTTTTTTTTTGTCTTCTTGAGACAGGGTCTTGCTATGCAGTTCAGGCTGGCCTTAAGCTCACTTTGCAGCCCAGGCTGGCCTAGAACTCGCCTCCTGCCTCAGCCTCCCGAGTGCTGGGATTACAGGCATGCGCCACCACGCCCGGCTTAGACTCAAATTTGTAATCCTCCTGCCTCTGCCTTCCAGCGTGTATCCCCTACATTCCCTGTACTGTCTCCACTTTACTGAATAGAAACTGAGGCCTTTGTAACCTGCTCCAAGCTGAGCAGCTGGCATCCAGGAGACCCAGCCCTTACTCCACATGCTCTTTCCACCATGGCATGTTTGGGCAAGGGCAACACATCTTAAACGCTCAGTGAGTATGTGCCGAGTGGAATGAGAGGAGCTTGACATGTGTTGTCTGCTTCTGAAGAAGAAAAAAGATGCAGAAAGCTTGGTGTAGCGGCATGTGCCTGTAATCCTACCATTTGCAAGGCTGAGACAGGAAGATCACTGAAAGTTGGAGGGCAGCCTGGGTGGCATGGTCTAAACTACCAGGAACTGTCCCAAAACAGGAGGAAGGAGGCGGCGAAGAAAGGGGAGAAGGTAGTTAAGGTGGCAGTGCCCCCCCGCCCGGCGCTCCAAGGTTCAGAAAAGCTCTTCTACCCCTACTCTTTCTGCCAAATAATACCCAGTGGCGCTCATAAACCTCCACATTGAGAATCAGCAGATGCGTAAGTCACCACCATTAGAAGCTCCAAGAGAGTTGGCAGGCCTCGGCCGGGGTACTTCTGCAGAGGGGAAATAGACCTATCCCACAGAAAGGCAACCCCACGACCATGTCCTCTGGTGGTACTTCCAGTCACCAGACACCCCCTAGTTGTGGTCAAACTCAATTAAAGAAGTCAATTGCTGGAAGACAGCAGTTTTATTTCTTCTACATTCTCTCACAGTAAAGTGCTACCAAATTATGATCCTGAAATTTTATCCATACAGTAGTAACTCTTTGAATTGCTCACCTAGATGAGATCGTCTATGCACACGGTAAGAGCACCCCCCAAAAAAAATTTTTTTTGTTTTTTTTTCTGGTACCGGGAATCGAACCTTGCACTTGCCAGGCAGGCGCTTTGCCACTGAGCTAAATCCCCAGCCCTCTAGCACCAAAAAATTTTATTCACTTGGAATAAAAATTATTGGAGCCAATAACTATCTAATGAAATAAATCAAACTTGCACCTGTAAACATCGTATTGTCGCCCTAGTGTAAGAAACTCAAAAAGTAAATAAGACCCAAAATCTACAATAGATA